CGGCGCCCCTCGGCTGGGCAGCAGGGAGTAGACCAGCTGGATGGCGGGTGCCACGAGCGGGCACTGCCATCCCCTGGGGCTCCCGAGCGAAGAGGGACATCCCGGCCGCGGGCGCCTTCGGGACAGGCGTAGGTCACAGCACGTGTGAAGCCCTGGGTCCTCTCCCTAAGGCCCAGGAGGGCTCTGCCGTGGTTGGCGGCTGGAAGTGGGTGCAGGTGCCTCGGAGGTGAGCCGGGTAGGAGAGAGGTGGACAGCTGGAGGGGCCTGCCGCAGCTGCCTGGAGAGACAGGGCAGCAGGACCGCGCAGAGAACAGGCCCACTGACCTTCTCTGGCCCCCCAGGGAGCAACGTGGGCAGATGAGAGCTTTGTGGTCACGTGGTTTTCTTTTTTCAGGAAGAAAGAGCAGCTTCCTCCTCCACGCTGGCGGCGGAGGAGAAGGTGCTCCCATGGATGCCTTCCAAACCTGCGCTTGGCCTTGCGGGGTAGCCACAGTTGAAATCCCAGCCACTCGGGAGCCTAGGCTGGAGGGTCACAAGCTTAAGGCCAGCCTTGGCCCCTTAGTGAGACCCCATCCCAAAATGATACTTCTTGTAAGGCGCTGGGGTGTGGCTCAGTGGAAGAGTACCTGCCTCCCACGTGAGGCCCTGGGTTGGATCCTCAGCACCACATAAAAATAAATAAAGATATTGTGTCCATCTACAACTAAAAAAAAATTAAAGTACATTCATGAGAACATTGCAAATCCCAAATATCAACTTGATCTGTGAGATTTCTCAGCATCTGCAAACACTTAAGTAACCAGGCAGATCTTCACTAGGAAAATCTATTTTTAAAAAATTAACATAAAGTGGGGCTGGGTTGTAGCTCAGAGGTAGAGTGCTTGCCTGCAGCCCCCCAGCCCCTGGTTATCACCTCTGCCTCTGTCTCTGTGAATGGTGACTGTGGAGACCCATGGGAGTGGGATCACTCAAATCTGCATGACATTCCATAGCTGGGGTAGAGGGTGTTTGTCCATCCCCCGCCTGTTGATGGACATCTGGCTGCTTCCACCTTTGACATTGTGAATGTGGGGGTGCAGACAGCTCTTTAAAGCTTGTTTTTTTTGGGGGGGAAGGGTGCTGGGGATTGAACCAAGGCCTTGTACATACTAGGCAAGTACTCTACTAACTGAGCTATATCCCCAGCCTTAGAGCCTGTTTTTAATTCTTTGGGGAATATGGTTGGGAGTGGGTTGCTGGGTCATATTTGATTTTTCTTTTCTTTCTTTTTTGGTACCAGGGATTGAACCCAGGGACACTTAGCCACTGAGCCACAACCCTAGTTCTACTTTTTATTTTGAAACGGGTTTTCATTAAGTTGTTTAGTGCCTTGCTAAATTGCTGAGACTGGCTTTTTTTTTTTTTTTTTTTTAGTTGTAGATGGACAGCATGCCTTTATTTTATTTTTTTGTTTGTTTGTTTATTTTTTAGTTTTAGGTGGACACACTATCTTTATTTTATTTTTATTTTTAAGTGGTTATTGAGGATGGAACCCAGCGCCCCGCGCATGCCAGGCGAGCACGCTACCACCTGAGGCACATCCCCAGCCCTGTTATTTCTATGTGGTGCTGAGGATCGAACCCAGTGCCTCACACATGCGAGGCCAGCGCTCTGCCACTCAGCCCCAGCCCCAGACTCCCCACCCCCCACAAGCATTTTTGTTTGTTTTTTTGAGATGGGGTCTTACTAAGTTGCCTGGCTGGCCTGGAACTTGGGACCCTCTTGTCTTGGTCTCCAGAGCTGCTGGAACCCCAGGTGTCCCAGGTGTGGCCCCCACACCTGGCTGAGGTCGGGCATGTTCTCAGGTGCTTCCTTTTTTTTTTTTAAGTTGTTAATAGACCTTTATTTTATTTATATATTTATATGTGATGCTGAGAATCGAACACACGCCAGTGCACTACCGCTGAGCCCCAGCCGCAGTGCCTCGGATGCTTCTTGCTATTTCTGCTTATTCTTTATCTGTCCAGATGGTTGTTGTTGTTGTCATTGTTTTGTGGAGCTGGGAATGGAAGCTGGGGCTCCATGCATGCTGGGCCAGTGCCGTCTCCACGTTGAAGCTGGATTGCCTTTCTGCTGTTGAGCGGTACGTGCTCTTCATACATTCTGGGTGCCATACTCTCTGAGCCATGCGATTGAAAGTGTGTCCTCCCATTCTCTGGGTCCTGTTCTCAATCTCTTCGGAATATCTTACTCTTTAGTGTAGAGATGAGGGGCACTGCATGGTCCCTGCAGAACTCCTGGGCTTAAGCACCCTCCTGCCTGGCCTCCCTAGTAGCTGAGGCTGAGGGGTGCGCCCCCACCTGGCTGGCTCTGGCTGACAGCATCTCTGAGGTACCCCAGCTTGTCACGTCCTTGTGACACCCTGTGGCCTTGCTGCTGCTGCTGTTCCTGCCCTGTGCTTCTGGTTGTTCCAGGACCATGAAACCTGCCTCATGTTTCAGATCGCATCTTTGCATCCCTGACCCTTTTGAGTGTACGGTGTGACTCAGGGTCCAGCTGCACTCTCCTACGGGTGGTCATCTAGCTGTTCCACTCCACTAGTGGAGGAGAGTCTTCCCTGAGCAAGGTCTTAGCAGCCTTGTTGAAAATCAGTTAACTGTGATGTCTGAGTTTATATCTGGACTCTCAATCTCTTTTACTGAGCTATAAGTTATCCTTAAGCCAGATTCAGTCTCTTAATTCCTGATGTTTGGTTCTACGTTTTAATTTTTTTAAATTTTTATTTATTTATTTAGGCACTGGGGATTGATTGAACTCAGGGGCACTCGGCCACTGAGCCACATCCCCAGCCCTATTTTTGAATTTTATTTAGAGACAGGGTCTCACTGAGTTGTTAGTGCCTCGCAGTTGCTGAGGCTGGCTTTGAACTTAAGATCCTCCTGTCTCAGCCTCTCAAGCTGCTGGGATGATAGGCGTGCACCACTGCGCCCAGTGCTTAAAATTTTGAAACTGAAAATTTGAAAAAGATTCTGGTTTTCTTTTCCAAGATTGCTTTGGTTTCTGAGGCAGGAGGATCTCAAGGCCAAACTCAGCAACTTACTGAGACACTGTTTCAAAATAAAGGGGGACACTAGGGGTACGTCTCAGTAGTTAAACACCCCTGTGTTCCATCCAGGCACCGTGGTGCATGCCTGTAATCTCAGCAGTTCCAGAGGCTGAGGCAGGAGGATCGTGAGTTCAAAGCCAGCCTCAGCAATAGTGAGGCACTAAGCAACTCAGTAAGACCCTATCTCTAAATGCAAAATAGGGATGGGGATGTGGCTCAGTGGTCAAGTGCCCCTGAGTTCAATCCCTACTCCACCCCCCTAAAAAAGATCACTTTGGTTATTTGGGGTTCCTTACATTTCTACATGAATTTTAGAATTGGCCTTTCCATTTTCATAAAAATAAAGCTTGTTGAAATTTTTTAAAAAAATCTTTAGTGGTAGATGGACACAGTACCTTTATTTATTAGTTATTTATTTAATGTGGTGCGAAGATTTAACCCAGTGCCTCTCCTGTGCTAGATGAGTGCTCTACACTGAGCCCCAGCCCAGCCCTGTCGAGATGTGGATAGTAGATCAGTTCTGTAGATCCACTTGGCATGGCAATAAGCCACCATACCCCATCTGCTTTTATTACCACTGAGCTACTCCCCCAGGCTTTTTATTTTGGGACAGGGCCTCATTACTATGCTGAGGCTGACCTTGAACCTGTGACCCTCCTGCCTCAGCCTCTGAGTCCCTGGGGTCACAGGCATGGGCCACAGTGCCCTGCTAGCAACAAGTCGTTCTGACAACCTGTCCCCACCTAGGAACACTGGATTCACTTGTGCAGGTCCTCAACTCCTCTCACCAACAGTTTTCAGTGTATAGGTTTCACTCTCTTGGTTAAATTGATTCCTAGATATTTTATCTTTTTTTTTTTTCCCCAGTACTGGGAATGGAAACCAGGAGCGCTTTACCACTAAACCACATCTCCAGTCCTTTTTGAAACTTTGAACTTTGAGACAGAGTCTTCTGCCTCAGCCTCTGACTCCCTGGGAGTCACAATTGCCAGCCATCCTTCCTGGAAATTTTATTTTATTTTTTATGCTATTACAAATGGGATAATTTCCTCATTTAATTCTCAGACTATTTGCTGTCATATAGAAATAGAACTGATTTTGGCCTGGGGGTGTAGCTCAGCGGTACAGTGCTTGCCTAAGCATGTGTAAGACCCTGTGTTTCCCTAGCACCGCAAAAAAAGAAAGAAAAAAAAAAAAAGAAATACAACTGATTTTATGTTCATTTTATTTTTTATTTTTATTTATTAAAAAAATTTTAGTTGTAGTTGGACACAGTACCTTCATTTTATTTATTTTTATGTGGTGCTGAGGATCGAACCCAGGGTCTCACACATGCTAGGCAAGTGCTCCACCGCTGAGCCACAACCCGAGCTCCATACTTTATATTTTCTTTAATATTTATTTTTCAGTTGCAGTTGGACACAATACCTTTATTTTACTTATTTATTTTTATGTGGTGCTGAGGGTGGAACCCAGGACCTTGCACGTGCTAGGCAGGCACCCTACCGCTGAGCCACAACCCCAGCCCTTATGTTTACTATATATCTTTCAACTTTGTTGAATTTTTTAAAAATATTCTTTTCAGTTGTAGACGGACACATACCTTTTATATCATTTTCTTTTTTATGTGGTGTTAAGGATCAAACCCAGCGCCTCACACACACTAGGCAAACCCTCCACCACTGAGTGGCAACTCCAGCCCCCAATTTTGCTGAATTATTACTGTAACTTTCATAAGACTTCCTATGCATGAGATCAGTCTGCACATTGAAACAGGCTCGGTCCTGCCTCTTCATTGTTGGGCGTCTATCACTTGCTCTTCCTGTCTGCCGGCTGTGGCTAGGGCTTGCAGACAGTGTTCTGGCAGAAGCTACAAGCTGCAAGTCCTCGGACCTGGGGAGCCACACTCACTGCTGCAGGGAGCATGCCACGGGTCTCCTGTTGGGGACCCATCTTTCTACCCAGGTTGTTTTGTAACAAACCCAAGGCCTCATGCCTGCGAGGTGAGCACTTTACGGATGAGCCAGACCCCAGCTCCTAATCGGTCTTTTTTTTTTTTAAATCATGAAAGGGCACTGAATTATGTCAAATGCTTTTTCTGCACCAAGTGAGACAATCACCTGGTTTTCTTCCTTCTCTTATTGTGATATATTCCATTGAGTTTCTTTTTTTAAATATTTATTTTTTAGTTGTAGTTGACACAATACCTTTATTTTATTCATATATTTTTATGTGGTGCTGAGGATCAAACCCAGGGTCCCCCATGTGCAAGGCGAGTGCTCTACCGCTGAGCCACAACCCCAGTCCCCATTATTGAGTTTCATCTCCTGAATCACACTTGTCTTCCTGAGTGAGCTCCCCTGCATCAGGACATGTAATCCTTTAAAACATGCTGCTGGGCTCTGGTCAGCTTCCATTTCACTGGGATTTCTGCATCTAGATTCCAAGGGGGGATTATTCTGCAATTTTCCTTCTCCCAACATCATTGAATTTTGAAACTTCTTTATATGTTTTATAAAGACCTCATATTATTCTACTTGCATACACATATACACAAGACATTGGATAATATTTCACTAATATTCTTTTCTACTCTGTGGCTACAAGTTTTGGGGTTTTGTTGTTTTTTTTTGTGTGTGTGGAACTGGGGATGGAATGTAGGGGTGCTCTACCACTGAGCTACACCACACCACCAGCTCTTTCTTTAAGATGCGGTCTTTCTAAATTGCCCAGGCTGACCTTGAACTTGCCATCCTCCTGCCTCAGACTCCCACATAGTCAGGATTACAGGTGTGTCCCTTTGCACCTGGCTGTTCTTAGTCTTGACAGTCCCGTTCTTCTGTGTTTCCATTTGTGGATCCATGCTGGTGGTGTCAGATTTTAAAATTCTTTGTCTAATCCCAGGTTGAAATATTTTTCCCACATTTTCTCCATAATTTTCATAGGGTTTTTTTTTTTTTTCACTTAAATTGGAGTTACTTTTGTTTACTTGTTTTCTTTTGGTACTGGACCAAGGGGTACTCTACTACTGAGCTACATCTCTAGCCCTTTTTATTTTTTATTTCGAGACAGGGTCTCACTAAGGTGCTTAGGGCCTTGCTAAATTGTTTAGAGGCTAGCCTTGAACTTGCAATTCTCTTGCCACAGCCTCCCCAGTAGGAGGATTACAGTTGATTAGTTTTTATATAAAAAGTGAGGTCTGAATGTATAGGCACCTCGTGACAAATCTTCAAAATACACAAAGCAAAATGATAGAACTGAAGGAGGAGGAGGAAGAAAGAAGAAAAGGGGAGGAGGAGGAGAACTCTCACCCTGGGTACCTCACTACTCCTCTCTCAGAAACTGTCAGAACAGTTTGAAAATTAGCAAGGACGTACGTGGAGGGTCTGACCTTACTGTCATTTATAGGTCCAGCCACATTCCTTCTCGTCCTGTCTCCACCCCACACTGGGAAGTGAACCCAGGAGTGCTCCACCACCGAGCTCCAAAACCAGTGCTCTTATTCCTTCCTGAGTTCTGCTGGAGTGACAGAGCCTCTTCACCGTCTCAAACAGTGGCAGGTGGGAGACAATGGGGGCAGGAAGAAGCTCTGTGTCCCACTCTAGGCCCAAGGCCACCCTGCTCCGGGTCTCGGTTCTGTGCCAGCAATGCCCCAGTGGCTGTGCCGAGTTCTCTTGCTCAAGCCTTCAGGGGGAGGGAAGGCTGCTGGCTGTGCCCAGGGCTGCCCAAAGGCACCAGCCGCCCGTCCCACCCCACAGCCCAGACTCTCCAGTCCTTGTGGTGTGAGTACCACCCGTTTCTCTGCCAGTCCACACCCTGAAATCTTTCAAGTCAGGACCCTCCCCTCCTGATGGGCTGGTGCTGCACGTCTCTGCCGTCCCAGGGAGCCAGTGCTGGAGAAGGCGATGGAGTGATGCACTTGGAGACCCACCTAGAGTTCAGCCTTTTAGCCAAGGGGCCCCAGAAAACATCACTCGGGTCTGGCGTCACCCCAACCTGAAGTCCACAGAGAAGATCATCTCCCTAAGACGTTTTCATGTACTTTCTTCCTGTGCTCTTTTATCATCTGCCAGGGACGGTTCTGGTCCTCCACGCTCACAGCCTCCTCGGGCCACCTCTTTTTTTAAATAGATGCACACCAGGTCTTTATTTTATGTGGTGCTGAGGATTGAACCCAGTACCTCACACTTGCGAGGCGGGCGCTCTACAACTGAGCTGCAGCCCCAGCCCTGGCCACCTCTTAATGTGTCTTTCAGGTGACTCTAGTGTAGTTCTCCTGTTGGGGATGCCCCCCACCCCCGCCACCGGAACCGGCTCCTGTAGTCGGGCGCTGGCCGTGTCATTTCTTGAGTGAGTTCTCGGTAGCCCCTGAGGTCTGCGCGGTCGTCACTGGTCGCGGGGACTAAGGGCTAAGGGTAGCCAGGTGGGCCGGGTACGCGGGGCCGGGCTGCAGCGTTGCTGAGGATCTGGAGAGTGTTGGAGGAGGATGAGCGCGCGACTCGGGCGCCAGGCGGGGTTGCACCGCCCAGGCCAGACGGGGTTCGGGGCAGGGAGAGAGACAGCCCTGGAGCCTCGGGGATTGGGAAGAAGGAGACGCCCAAAGCGGCTTTCGGCGGAGCCAGAGCTCGGGTCTTCGGGCGCCCGGCCGGTGGACAGAGCGGAAGGAGACGCGGATCCGCCTCGGAGCCAGGCGCTTCTAGGAGGTACCCGGAGAGGGGTGCCAGGCGGGGGTCGATACCCACGCACACCGGGTCTGGTTCGGTCGACCCGCCTTCCCAGCTGGGATCTCGAGTGTAGACCCGCGCACCGCCCGATGCCGTCTGGGGCTGCCTGTGCCAATCACCTCCCTCAGTTCTCATCGCGCGGCCGCTGCTTTCGCCTGGCTGCGGGACTCACCGAGCGCAAAACCCCGAGATCTCGAGACACGCACGCGGCGGGGCGCCGCTTGGGCCCCCTGATCCGGGGCGGGGCGGGGCGTGCCAGGGGCGGGGCTCCGGGAAGGGCCGGGGCTTCGCTCCGCGCCTGACGGGGCGCACCTGGCCGGCGGGCCATGGGGAACCGCAGCGCCGCGGACGCGGGCGGGCTGTTGGCTGGGCGTGGGCCGGGCACCGGGACCCCGGGGTCAGGCGCGGCGTTGGGCGCAGCGGGGGCGGCAGCACTGGTGGGAGGCGTGCTGCTCATTGGAGTGGTGCTGGCGGGGAATTCGCTCGTGTGCGTGAGCGTGGCGTCGGAGCGCTCGCTGCAGACGCCCACCAACTACTTCATCGTGAGCCTGGCGGCCGCCGACCTCCTGCTCGCACTCCTCGTACTGCCGCTCTTCGTCTACTCCGAGGTAAGCCTGCGTCCCCGCCGGCTCCTGCGTCCCGTCCCTGTCCCCGCTGAGCCCCTTAGCACCCAGGTCGCCTCTTTGATCCGGAATATCGAGTTGCAGCAGACGGTTGCAGGGGCGCCTGACCTGCTCGCCCCCTGGTCCTCAGCTGTCCTCGGTCCCTGGAGTCTCTGCTCCTTTTGCTGTCAGTCCCCCTGTGTCTCTCTTCTCCCCTCCCCCTCTCCACTTGCCTTGGCTTCTGCCACCCAGAGGCCCCTGTCTTTGGAGCCAGAGACTCCAGAAACTGGCGGCTTGGCCAAACCCCGCCCTCTCCGCAACCGGATTCCCCTCCCCTCCACTCGGAGGAGCCCACCGGACAGACCACCAGATGGGGGCTCAGCCCCGCGCAGTAACCCCAGGGCGCGCGCACACACCGCTGCCTAAGGCCATCCACACCACACAGGCGCCCTCCACGTGCGCTGGTGAACAAGGCCTGGGGTCCTCCAGGAGCAGTGAGCTGGACTGGACAGCGAATCCAAAGGGAGGCCGGTGGGAGGGGCAGAACCCCTGTGAGAAACCCACACCAGGTCTGGTCCTTGGGTGGTCCCACTGTAGTGCCAACCTCTCTCCTCTGTAGTTGAGCCCGGAGAAAAGCCGCTTAGGGCCCTGCTGGGAACTAGGTGTCCTGGATTGTGGGGGAGGGGAGACATAGGTTACTAAGGTGGACAGGGCTGTTCTGTCGTTTGGGGCACAGGCCAGTACCGCAAGGACACACGACCTCGGCTCCTCCTAGCTGCGGACGTCACGGTGACGGCTCTTAAGCTGCTAATGTCCCAAATCAGCGCGAAGGGATTTAGAGGGGGGGTGGCACCCTGTTCCTGCCCTTGCAGAGGGATACCCCCATGCATGATCCTGTGCTGGGCATTGTGCGTGAGTTCTTTGTGTTTTTTAAACTCCTTCGCCCTCACAACTGCCTTGGCTTCTGCCACCCACAAGTTGTGGATGTGGATACTGCCACCACCCCTGGGCTCACAGATGAGTAAACAGAGAAGTAGCTTGTCCAGAGTCCCACACAGCAACACCGGCTGTTCAGGAAGGCCCACTCTTAGCAGAGCTCTAGGTGGAAAGGGCGGTTTTGTGTCCAGGGCCATCCAGTCCTGGGGCTCCTCTGAAGCCAGGGACATCAGAGCCCCCCCCCCCATATGTTCCCCAGGCTTCGTGTCCTAAGGAAGGGAGAGCTGAGGCAGGAGGCTGGCTTCTGTCCCTGCCCCTGACCTAGTCAACCAACCAGTCAGAGGACTGTCCAGGCCAGTGAGTGTCCCCAGTTGCCCGAGGCTCACATCAGATTTCCTTTCCCCTGATACTCAGTTCATGCTCCCTCAAAAAAGTGGGGGTCAGAAAGTCTGCAGCTAGCAAATAACGGACTTTTTTCTCCTTGCTGCGCCCTTGGCGTGGCCACCCAGGTGCATGGCGGCACGTGGTTGCTGAGCCCCCGACTTTGCGACGCACTCATGGCCATGGACGTCATGCTGTGCACCGCCTCCATCTTCAACCTGTGCGCCATCAGCGTGGACAGGTGGGCGCCCCCGCTGTCCCCCCACCCCATACCCCCGCGCCAGCTGCTCCGTGGGCCTCACTGCTGCCGCCCGCGCCCCGCAGGTTCGTGGCCGTGACTGTGCCGCTGCGCTACCACCGCCAGGGCCGGCGCCAGCTGCTGCTCATCGGTGCCACGTGGCTGCTGTCTGCAGCTGTGGCGGCGCCAGTACTGTGCGGCCTCAATGACGTGCGCGGGCGCGACCCTGCCGTTTGCCGCCTGGAGGACCGCGACTACGTGGTCTATTCGTCGGTGTGCTCCTTCTTCTTGCCCTGCCCGCTCATGCTGCTGCTCTACTGGGCCACGTTCCGCGGCCTCCGGCGCTGGGGAGCGGCCCGGCGAGCCAAGCTGCATGCCCGCGCGCCCCGCGGGCCCAGCGGCCCCAGCCCGCCACCTGCACCCAGCCTTCACCCGGGACCCTGCGGGCCTGACTGTCCGGTGCCCGGGCCGGTCCTCCACCAGGTCTCCTGCGGACCCGGCTGCCCGCCTCTCGACGCCATTCCTGAAGCAGAGGTCTCGCCCCAGCCCCCGACGCAGGCCCCCCAAAGGCGTGCCAAGATCACCAGCCGAGAGCGCAAGGCCATGAGGGTCCTGCCGGTGGTGGTTGGTGGGTTCCTGCCCTGGCGCGGGTCGGAGGAAGGGGGCTGAGGTGCAGAGGGGGTGGGAGGGGCTGGGCGGCCGGGTGGAGGAGAGGGGAATGGGAGAGGGTCCGGCGTGGGGCGCCGGTTTGGCTGACTGCCCTCGCCCCCAGGGGCCTTCCTGGTATGCTGGACGCCCTTCTTCGTGGTGCACATTACAGGGGCACTGTGTCGGGCTTGCTTCGTGCCCCCGCGCCTGGTCAGCGCTGTCACCTGGCTGGGCTATGTCAACAGCGCTCTCAACCCGCTCATCTACACTGTCTTCAACACCGAGTTCCGCACAGTGTTCCGCAAGGCACTGCGCCCCAGCTGCAGAGCCCCGGGGCCCTGCTGTGCTTCTGATTAAACAGATTCCTTGCGGATGCTGTGCAGGTTCCTGGGACGGGTGTGAGGAGGAGGGGCTTCTGACCCAAGGACCCCACCAGCCGGTTGACCCTTTCCTCCCCAGAGTGAGGAGGTCCTGCAGCTGGGGCAGTCCCCTCAGCTCCAACCCAGGGTGGCATCCAGGAGCTGTTCCCCCTTTACCACAGGAGAGTGTTTGGGGTGATGGTCCTGAGGGGAGACCTCTGCTTGCCCTGAGGGTGGGGACACAGCACCCAGTGAAAGGTACCCACCAAGGGTCCCGGCCAGCTCCTGCTTCTGAGGACCAGGTGGGTGGGATTTTTGCTGTCCCGGTGGGAATGGCAAGAGGACTCTCTTCAGAGCTTCCTGGAGGCCAAAAAACCAAAACAGCAGCAACCACCAGCTGCAACCCTGGCCAGAAGGTGCCTGCTAGGGAAGGGACTGGGGATGGCAGAGGTCCACCCAGGGCTCCCTGAAGGAGTGCCACTCTAAGGCCAGCCGTGTGCTCCGCAAACCTGTCTCTCGTGTCCCAGGCAACCTCGGGGAGAAGACGGCAGGGCCAGCGTTGGGCAGAGGACACCAGGCTGCCTGTCCCTAGGCACCTCTGGCCCCGGGGGCAAAGGGACAGCTCCTGTTAGAACAGTTCAACGTGGCTGTCCCTGTCTGTGGTCATGGGAGAGTTCCCGTCAGCCCTGTTGGCAGGAGCTGTCCTGTGTGTCCCATGTCCAGGGTGTTGCCTCTTCAAACTGCCACAAGGGCCTGCGTTCTTGTCTGGACAGTGAAGTTCTGGGCTCGGCACCTGGGCCATGCCCTGAGGGCCGTTAGGGCCATGGCTGCAGGCACCTCAGCACGCCAGAGCACTCTGCAGCTGGGGCACCCGAGTACCGTCCGGTGCCGCAGCCTCGTCTACTGTGTGCGGTCACATCACAGCCTGCCCCTGACCCCTTTAGGGAGCGGACGAGGTCATGGATTTGTTTCTGCCGGCCTGAGTGTCCCCAGCCTGTGTGGTGCCGACACCGGAACTGGAACTGGGGCTCCCTTGGGCTCTGTCCCTGGGGACCTAAGGGCCCAATGTGCCTGGCCCTTGCTGACCCGGACCGAGAGCCCTTCGGACAGAGGGGAGGTCAGAATGCCCTGAGGTGGACAGAGGTCACGGGAAGCTGGACACAGCTGGGGGACTGCATCCCAGAGCCCATGCTGAGACCCCCTGATCACAAGCCTTGGAGACCCCAAAACACGAGTCCTCAGGTTTCCATTTGAAAGGCAAAGTACAGGTTGGCCCATCCCTCCAGGACACGGTGCCCAGGGTGGCAGTGCCCCACAGACAGTGCTCCAATGCGCCTGCTTGGCGCCCTGGGCTGGCCCTCTGCTGACTGCAGTCTTCTGCCACCTCAGCCGGCATCTCGGCAGGGAGAGCCCACCCTCTTGTACCACAGCTGTGCCACGGGACCTCACTGTGGCCTCTCCATGGCCTGGCTGGCAGGATAGGGCCACGCGATGCCCTCGTGGCCACCAGAGAGGACTTCTGGAGGTCGGGACAGCTCATCCCCCCTGGAGGGCCTATGTCTAGGGGGACCAGGCTCAGCACAGGCAGAAAAGAGTCAGCGGCCATGAGGACCCGACTGGTGGGGAGAGGGCCCAGCCCAGGTCCTTGGAACGCCCAGGTGGTGCCCGGCACGACAGAGCCGCGGGAGACTGGGCAGGGCTCACTGACGGTGGCCTCCTGGCTCCCCACCCTTTCTGCCAGAGCCTTCTGCTGCCCCTGCAGATCATATCCCAGTGGGTGCCAGGGCTATGCTGGGTGTGGACTCTGGGCAGCAGGAGTGGACCATCCCTGGTCCAGGGGAGGGCACAGGGCTGAGGACTCTGGGCGCCTGCGGTGTAGGGCTCACAGAAACGGCGGAGAGGGACGGCCAAACAGCCGGTGGGTCTCCCCAGAGGTTCCGGCCCTTGGTCCTGCTGAGGCTTGTCAGCACGGCTCTGGGCAGTGAGGAGGGACAGCGTAGACACAGTGAAGGTCAGGACTCTACATGCAGAGGGCCTGGACACAGGCGGACTGGCTGCCTCTGGGCCCCTGAGCAGCCTCCAAGCTGGTGGGCACAACTTGGAGGCCAGGGAGCCCAGATGCACTGCTAGGTGGCCAAAATCCTCCCAGATCCATCTCCACCAAAGGACTTCTCAGGCCTTGCAGGTGGGTGACAGAGGGCCCTTGGGTGAGTGCCAGGCACAGGCAGTGGGCAGACACCCTGTCACCTCAGAGGCCTCAATGGGGCCAGAGGTGGTCAGCAGAAGAAGCCCTGTGTCCACCCTCACCATGGTGGGTCAGGGAGCTGCAGCCAGCACCATGCAGTCCAGACCACAGGACCGAGCCTGCCAGGCGGTCTGTTCCCAGGGCCCTGTGACGCTGGCACTGGCGTGGCCGTCGGGGGGTGGGACTTTATTTACAACTCTGTCGACAGACAGCAGGTGTGCACCGTCACAGCACACACACACCTGGCCAGGCCTGACGCTCATGATCCCGGGGAGAGCACCCTGAGGGCAGGGACCCTGTCCCGCCCACAGTGCCACAGAACCTCCTCAGGGCTGCTGGGTGGCAAGAGCTCATCTGCAGGGCAGGGTCCACTCCAAGTCCACTCGGAGTCCGTGGATAACTTGTCCAGCAAGTTCCCTTCACGACCCCCACAGTCCGTGGGGGCTTCCACTGTGAGGCCTCTCGGCAGGTAAGGTAGGTGGGGCGGCTCACACGGCCACCTTCTCCATCACACTTTCAGCCACGTGGACCTCTTCTGCCTGAACGGTGACAGCTGCCGACTGGCCACATACGTGCTGATGGTCTTTCCAGTCCTGAAAGGAGGGACACCGTGTTAACAGGCCAATGCTGCTGCCAGCTCGTGCCTGGAGGGGCCGTGGGGGGGGGGTGGCCACGGCCTTCGCCCAGAGGCCATCTCCTGTGAGCTACCCCGCCTGTGTCCAGACCTGCCCAGGCTCTTGGGGCAACAGAGATCAGAGGTCAGCCACGACGGGCCCCACACACCACGAGGACCGTGAAGAGTGAAGCAGTGACGGAATCCTTGCGCCCACCAGAAAACCTGTCCCAACACACAGCACCCACCACCCGGCAGGGGAGTGGGCCTCCCCGCCTCCCAGCGTTCGCTTCTCAAGCTCATACCCCGAGGCTGTGGCAGGGCTGCTGGAGGACTTGCGTTATTTGAGGGACAGGGTCAGGAAACTCATGAAGAACAGGCCTTGGCAGTGTTTCTGAACTACAGAAAAGAATGGCGCCTTTAGCCCACAGGAACTTGGGACAGATGGGACTCCTGACGAAACTGCTACTGACATGCAAATGATGATGGGGAGAATTTTGGAAATGAAATGAGTAGGAAAAGACTGCATGGCTGAAATTAGAATCTAAGATCATAGGATCCAGTTAAGTTCACAAAGGAAGGATTCCAAGTTTCAACATGATTTTTCTGATTATATTTTAAAATGAATTTGTTTTCAAAAGAAAAAGCGGAAGAGAAGGAGGAGAAAGAGGAGCCACGCTGAGTGCAGACGCACGGACAGCTGCTGCTCAGCGCCCTCAGTTCCACGTGTGGCCCCGGGAGACCGTGGCCAGGCAGCCCAGGAGCTCCTCGGAGTGCAGGGCCACCCAGAACGGCGGAGGCCGAGTCAGGAGTCCAAGATGAGAACCACACATTGCTTGCCCACAACAGGCCCCAGTGCACATCCTAGAGCCATCAGTCTGAGACAGGAGGAACCTGGACACTTACTCTCAACACCAGCACCAGCCCGAGCCATAAAGACCACCAGCCCTGCACACTGCACCCTGGGACACGCTCAGGAAGCCTGAGGGTGCAGGCACCCTGCAAGGGTGTCCTCCACACCACACAGGCAGGGAGCTGGACGTGGACAGCAGCAGGCAGGTCAGGAAATTCACAAATATTCGAAAATCAACACACTTCTAAGTAACTCATTCATCACAGAAGAAATCCCAGGAAAACTTAAGCTAAAAAAGTCCGCCTGTCTCTGGGTGTGGACACTCTGTGCCAGCCCTGGGAAGAACTGTCGGGACCTAAGGGAAAGAGCCGACCTGACTGCATGCGACAGCTGCGGCAGGGCCTCAGCCTGCGTCCCTCTGAGCCGCATGTCAAGGAGACGTACATGCTCACCTCGCACCAACGCGCCACACAGGGAGGAGGGACAGCACAGGGGAGGCCAGGGAGAAGACCCTGGCCCAGGAAGACCCCAGGGCCGGCTCGCGGGCAGATCAGCAGAGGCGACCAGCCAGGAAAGAGGCCTCACCCTCGACCGACGCAGGGGTCTGGACGGGAGGGAGCGCTCACGTGTGCAAGGACGTACAGGGACGGAGGCGGTCCCGTGTTCGTGGTGCTCAGGAGAAGCGCAGCCTGAGGACGTGGATGGGGACAAGGACGTGGATGGCAGCAGTGGCGTGCCAGGAGCAGGCCCCTGGGGTGTGCCTTTTACCCTGGTGCACATTGCTCTCACTGCTCCCAGATGCCAGGTTCTGAGCTGCCTCCTACCTCCACCTCCGCAGCCTTCCAGAGTAATGCTTGGTCTCACCTCACCAGAGAAGCAGAGGTGGCCAACGGAACTGAACCTCTGAAACCATAAGCCCCAAATAAACATTCCTTCCTCTATGTTCTTTTTTTGGTACTAGAGATTGAACTGAGGGGCCTTAACCACTGAGCCACATCCCCAGTTCTATTTTTTATATTTTATTTAGAGACAGGGTCTCACTGAGTAGCTTAGGGCCTCACTAAGTTGCTGAGGCTGGCTTTGAACTCACAATCCTCCTGCCTCAGCCTCCCAAGTCTCTGGGGTTACGGGTGTGCGCCACTGTGCCCAGCTTCTATGTTGTTCTTCTCAGGTCTTTGGTCACAGTGATGAAAACGCTGGCTCAACACCACGGAAGCGTTTAAAAGATCCAGCTGGGCACAGTGGTCCACAGAACCCCTGCAACTCGGGAGGCTGAAGCAGGAGGTCACAAGTTCCAGTTCAGCCTCAGTAACTTACGGAGACCCTAACAACCTAATGAGACCCTGTCTCAAAATTAAAAAAACAAGGGAGGGTGTGCAGGGGACGGGATGTGCCTTAGAGGTAAAGCACTCTGGGTTTAATTCCAAGTTCCAAGAAAAAAACCCCAAAGATCCTAAGGGACATGTGGGACAACTTTACACCAAACATCCGACGACTGTGGGGTGGACAAATGCCCAGAAACCACAGACTGCCGACCCGGGCCCGAGAGGGACGGAGAGGGAAGGGGGGCGTGAGGAAGCTGCCTGAGGAAGGCCCAGAGGGCCTCGCAGGCTCCCGGCCGCCCAAAGGCAGAGCAGAAGGGCACCCTCCGGCCCAGCGTCCACCTGCGAGGCACCAGGACACACAGTCTGCCTCACAAAGTCCCCGCCCCATCCTGGTGAGATGCGTCAGGCGCCGGGTGACGCGTCCGCCTGGCTGCGACACTGAGCCCGTGACCCTCACGGCTGGGAACCGGGGAAGTGTCCTCTTCTGATAAAGACACTCGCAGAAACCCTGAGGCCACTTCACACCGGGTGGAGAGTGGACCTGCCCTGTCGTGGGGCCAGGTGGGAACTTCTCGCCCCTCTTTCCAGTGACCCGTTGGAGGGTCCATGGGCGCACAAAGAGCGGGGGGAAAGAGAAAGGAGAAAGGCGTCCGGCCACAGCGGAGGGGCCAGCCCCGAGGAGCCTGGCGAAGCCTCGGAACACACCAGAGTCAGGACACGGGGACAGGCGGCAGAAGTCGACTTTCTCCTCACACTGGCAGCGAGTGACCGGGAAACGAGGTCGGGGCAGAACAGCTCCCAAACAAAGTACCCTGGCTGAGCGCGCGGGCCACGCCTGCTATCCCAGCAGCTCTGGAGGCTGAGGCAGGAGGATGGCAAGTTCAAAACCAGCCCCAGCAACTTCGTGAGGCCCTCAGCAGCTCAGCAAGACCCTGTCTCAATATAAAAAGCAAAACGGCAGGGGATGTGGCTGGGTGATGAGGGCCCCAGGTTCAATACCAGGTACAAGACACGGACAAACCAACTACGTGGGACAGAGTCAGAAGGACAGCTGTGAGGTGTGCCCAGGACATCCTGACAGACACCTAAGGACATCGGGTACTCTCGGGCACGCACAGCCCCCGAGTCACCACGGTCAGGTGCAGCCCCGCCCAGCACGCGGCTTCCCAGAAGTCAGAGGAGGTCTCAGAAGCCACAGGCTGCGGGGGACCAGAGGCAGCACGGCAGGACCCCAGCTTCCTACCACCCATCCTTCAGAGTGACTGAGCTGGAGAGTCTGTGACCAGCACGGCAGGGCTGGGTTCAGAGATAAGCCCTGTGACATGGCCAACCAACCCCCAACAGAGGCGTTGAGGAAAGAACCACTGGGCACCCAGCGCTGCCGAGGGGTGAGCTGGACATGGGCATGCCAGAGGAGCTTGGCCACCTCACCGTCCCACAGGCCACGGTCTGCACAGCAGAGGCCACAGGAAAGTCCTTCTCCCTGGAGCTAGGCAGAAATCCCGGGGGCCTGGACTGGGTGGACATTGTGGTATAAAGATCACACATGGCTCCCTCAGGGTCTGAGCTGAAAAATGGGCGTGAGCAGAGCCCCGGTCAGTGAGGCCAGGAGCTGCGACTGGTGAGGAAGAGCAGCCGGCTTGGTCTTCAGGTCCTGTCTGGTGGTCACTCCGAGACCCTCTCCACTAACTCGAGAACCGCGTGGGTCTTATGGACTGTGTTGAGGGAGGATCAACCTCAGGTGCTCCCTGCAGGACGTGGGTCTTCTGTCAACAAGCACACCTGCCGGTGACCTCAGGGCACCTGTCACCTGGCTGACCTGGTCACTGTGGTGGTGTGCCTAGCACTGGGGAGAAGCGCCACCCTCCTGCGTACAGCCAGGACGCTGGTGCTGGCTCAGGTGGCTGCGCCTGAGTGCAGCGGACGACCCTGGTGGTCGACTCAGTGCAAAAGGAGGGTGAGGGGCTCAGGAACACAGGCTGTAAGCGTTGCTTCCCGACCCCTGGGTGAGCAGCCTGCAGAGGAAGCAGGCTGTGCCTGCCCACGGCGCACGAGGGCGACGCAGCCGTGGCCCCTCCAGGGGCTGACAGGACGGCCTGGGTTCCTGCCAGAGTGGGCACTGCGCACCTGAAGGCCCCCAGGCCATTCCAGCCTGGCTCTGCGTGGCCTGGCCCACCCCTGGCCTGCCCCACCTGTGCACTCCTGTCCAGATGGGTGGGCTTCAGAGAGCCCCTGGCCGTGGGTCCTGGTGGAGGGGTCTGCCAGCAGGAGCTACCTGCAGAGGCAGGGTGGGCCACCTAGGACCAGGTGTCTTGTCCTGCCTTTTTAACTGAGGGGGAGTTTCAAATGGGCACAAAGCAGAACAAGAGAGCAGGAGCCACGGGGACAGGCCTGTGTGAGAACAAGCTGCTCCTGGCCTTCCTCTCCAGGCTGGGAAGGGCACTGCCATCAGACCAGGGTCAGCATTTCTCCTCCTCCCTCTAGTCCCCACAGAGCAAGCGGGAAGACAGACCTGACGTTCCCACAGCAGGCTGTCCTTTAGGAAATGCCCTATGAAGAACAGGGCACGCTGCTCTGACTGGGAGGTGAGCCACAAGGACGAGGCTGAGGTGCTCCCCAGGACCAGGCCACAGAAATGTGGCCAGCGGCTACCAGCTGGCCTAGGAGGGGCGAGGCAGGCCCAGCTCTGACAGCACTCACCCTGACTGCACCTGCAGAAAGCAGTGCCCAGCCAGCAGGTGAGGAGTGCAGAGCAGGGTCGCCCTGGCCACCTCAGAACAAGTCTTCCTTACCTGCCTCCAAGCACTCTGAGGACAGACGACATCGGGGAGGCTGCAGCACTGCTGGGCGGGGGACACCTCCCTCAGCCTCTCAGAACCAGCAGCCCACCCTGCATGCAGAAAGGGTAGCTGCCCCTTTGCCTGGCTCCAGGCCTGCCTGGCCCGGGCACTGCCATAGGATGCAGTGACCCGTCCTTGGGACTGAACTGCCACCCATGGCTCACACAGGAGCAGACTGGTCCTTGTCATCACAGGCAGAGGAGGACCCTGGGGACCAGGGAGGCCGAGGGGCAAGGGAGCCCTTGGCCCTCTGCAGAGAATGGGGCCGAGGCTGCAGGCAGCAGCAGGCTCTGGACAGCCATGGAGGAGGACTGAGACCCCAAGGAATAGGACGGCAGAGGGCTGCCAGGCGCCCACTCAGCTCCGTGCCGGGGAGGGTGGGCCCTCAGAGACACTACCTTGCGCTGGCAGAAGGTGGAGCAGTAGTTGACCTTGTGGCAGCCGGTGCACTCACTCAGGGCCTCCCGGCCGCAGTTGACGCAGGACTGCTGCAAGGAGGACAAGAAACGTCAGTGCACAGAAGCTGGGCCCCCGCGAGCAGCCCCCAGGCTGAGCAGCGCATTCCCCGGGCACGGGCCCAGGAAGTCCACTTCGGGCTCCAAGGAGTCCCGCTCCAGGCGAGCGACTAGGGAAAACCAGCACAGGAAGGATAGGGAGACCAGCACCGGGTGGCCGAGCCCCCCAGGACATGTGGCCCTGGCACAGGTGCCTTGCTCTCTCCTCGGCCGCTGCCTGGCGGCTCTCTGCAGTGGAGGCTGCCTGCGCCTTTCTGTCAAGCTGTGTGACTAGAGCTTTTCTTCCTGATCTGCGGGTGCTGCAGGCCAGATGCGCTACCTGGCGGGAGGGGCTCCGTGGAGACCTCAGATCTGACTATGGCCCCACACGAGGAAGCCAGGCACTAGAGGTGACAATGCTGCTCCACTCGGCTCTGCAGACCGGCCTGGGCCTTCTGCTCTGAAGCCCAGCCACCCTCTGCCAGGCACTGTCTTCACGGCCACCAGCACCTCAGCACCCACCCACTCACTCCAGAGTGCAGGACCCGGCGGAATCTGGGCACTGACCACGTGCTCCTGCTCCACCTTAGATGGCAAAAGGCTTCAAGAACCTGAGACCCAGGGAGAGACTCCAGGGAGAACCCAGGTTTCAGAATCCACCCACACCTGAGGGGCAGGTGCCCCTGAAACAAGGCCACACACAGAGCCACAGGCTACAGGAGCTGGGGTCACCATCCCAGGAGCCAGAGGCTCTCGGGAAGCGGGGACTCAGGGTTGGGGCAGGGATGCAGCAGCCCCATGTGTCCTGTAGCACCAGAGTCAGGAGCCCGTGCTGGTGTGCCAGAGCACTCCAGAGCCAGGATCCCAGCCCTGGGCCCTTCCTGCTAGAAATAAGTGACCCAACAAATGGGGGGGGAGCAAATCTCCCATCAGAGGAATTCCAGAATTCTCCCTAGCTCTGCCTGCCCACTGCCTGGACTCACTGGGAGACCAGGTCCACAGAGAGAGCCACTCCACAGAGACACACCAGGCAGACCCCCTGGCCCAGGTGGGGAGGCTGTCGGGAACCCACGAGGGATGTGGGAAGAGGGATGTGGTCCTCGTCCTGCTAGAGCCACCCCTCGGGGAGAGGCCCTCAGGGGACGCTGCCAGGTGCTCAGGTTGCAGGGGTGAGGAACAAGGAACTCAAACGACCCGGTGACCCCAGACAAACGGCTCCTCCCCTTATTTTTGGAGGCAGTGGGGATCAAATCCAGGGGTGCTCTACCACTAAGCCCCGTCCTTAGACCTTTAAAGTTTCAGTTTTGGACAAGGTTGCACTAAACTTGCAGTGCTCCTGCCTCCGCCTCCCGAGCTGCTGGGGTACAGGGGTGGCTGCTGCACTGGGCCTCAGGACCAGCTTATTCTAAACAGGCTTTCTCCACGTAGAGGAAGTGCAGGTGCCCTGGGGACAACCACGGCGCACCGCCTGGCCATGCCAACCAGCCCTGTTAGAAGGTTCCAGACACCTGTGGGAAATCTCAGGCCACTATAAGTGGTTTTTCACGATAGGTCTCAAAGCACAGAGATGAGGAGGCCATGGACGCACACAGTGTCGGGCCTGTGGGAGCCCCCAGCTGGGAGGCTGCAGCCCCTGGACTCCCACACCAAGCAGCTCAAGCTGGTGGGCCATGCCTCAGAGGCCCGCCTTCAGAGTCCCGGGACAGCAGGCAGCCAGCAAGAGGACTGGCGTCTGCCCCGGACAGGGAGCCCCAGCCTCTGGCCCAACAATGAAGGCATCTAAGACTTGCTACCCCAGGCCCCAGGAGACTGTCTGTCTGCACTGCACCCAGGTGGCCAGGGTGTTGATCATGCTGCAGCAGCAACAAGGAGCAGGGGCAGCGCCTCATAGGCTCTGCCCAGGTGACTGGCTTGGAGTTCATTAAGAGCGGTGGTGGCAAGGCAGCTCCTCCCAAGAGCCACCGAGAATCGTGAGAAGAAAAAGTCACCTGCAACTTGCCCATTAACTCTCCAGTCACCACGGCCAGGTGGAGCTTCCGTCAGACAGCCCGTCTCAGAGCTGCCACAGCCACTGCCGTCCACAGCCACACAGGCACCTCCGGCCACCGCACACCGTGTCCTCATCCCACCTCCACCCTCACCTGTCCCTGAACGGTTCCCCTGAAGCAGCCCCAGCTGGAGGGCTGCCCCTGGGACTGTAGGGGACTCCTGTGTCTCAAGGGGCACGCACTCCCTGGTGGGTTCTCCGCGGGCCTGGGGGGCTCTACAGCCTGCTGGCCCCATGGCTGTTGCAGGGACAACGGAGGCTCAGAGCAGAGGGCCATGTACCCTTTTGGACCCACAGGGCCAGTTCCAGGGGCTCCTTTTCCAGAGCTGGGGCCTGAACCAGAGGCAGTAGCCCTCCCCCACACAGAGGCTTGGCCTCCACAGGGGCTGCACAGAGGGCAGGAGTGAGACGGCAGTGGCCAGGGCCTCGGGAGAACTGCTAGGGCCTTCCCAGAACCCAGGAACTGAGACCAGGAGGCCCAGACCCATCACTCACAACAGGTGGCTAGACAGGGCCCTGACAAACAGGCCAGGCAGTTGCTGGCACCCCATGGCAGGGGAAGCCTTGAGTGTGCTCCGTCATGGCCACTGGCCCAGGACTGCACAGATCAGGCACCCACACCAACAGAAGCCCCCACCCAGCAGTGGGTCTGAAAGCCGGGGCGCAGGCCTAAGCAGATCAAGGGATCAGTCCAACAGCGTGTCCCAGGGCTGGGCCAGAGCTGCCCTGCCTGCGAAACCAAGAAACCGCTGCGGCCAGCCTGGCGCACTTCAGATCCATGGCGACAGGCGGCTCTGCCTGTGGCCTGGTGGGTCTGCCCAGGGTGGGAACTACAGGGCCTCTGTGCCTGACCCTTCTGCCTTCACCCTGCCTGGCCCTCCTCCCACCATAACACAGCTCCTAGGGACAGCTCCCTCCTGAGGCTCTGGGGACAGCATTTCTGGGTGGCTCCACCACTACCAGGCAGGGGCTTCCAAGGAGCTGGCTGGGACTTGGGTTCGGTGGTGACAGTAGGCTGGCCAGTGGTTGTCTTCTGAGTGACTGGAGACAGACAACAGCACAGGGCCATACTCCTGGCTGCAGCTATCCTGTGTCCTGCCTGCGTCCAAGGGCGGTCACAGGCAGCCGCCCTCTTGTGGGCAGCTCTTGGTGCCTGTCCACTGTGCTACCCAGCAGGTGGGGGCCAGGGCTTCAGAGGCCAAAGCCATGCGCCCATGCACCTCAAGGCTCGGGGCCCTGCTCCTGCTGCACTCTTCAGGAAACCATGAGCCCACGCCTCTAGGCTCTTCTTCCTGCCTGCACGTCTTACTAAGGAAGGTTGGACCTGCACGGAGGACGTTGTGAGGGCCAGAGAGGGGCTGAGAAAGAGCCAAAGAAACAGGGGTAGGTTGTAGGGACTGGGACTGGCCACGGCAGCCTGGCCAACCCCAAGCCAGGGCTGCAGCTCAGACTCAAGACCCCACGGCCACTCAGCCAATGCCTGCTGGACGCTGTACCCTGGACAGCCCAGGGCATCTGCTCTGCCCCGTTTAGTCTCTGCAGAACTAATTATGCAAGGTTTCCATTAAAACTGGCAAAAATCCCCTTACTAGCTCAGCTGGACTAAATCTGATTTCTTCTTGGGTTCCAAACAGCAGATTGACGCTGGCAAGGGGGCCTACCTCCTGCTGCCCCATGGCCTGCAGACTCTGCTCTGCTCTGAAGGCCACACGTGGCCGTGCCACCCCTGTGCCACAGCACCCCTCCCCGAAGAGGCCTGCGGAGCTGGATCTCCAGGGATATGCAGCTCTAACCAGTTCACCATTTCACAGGCCCCAGTGACTGCCCTCCTGTCCAGCCTTGTGGCCATGTCCCCACAGCAGTCAAGCCACCATTGACTTGGTCAGCAGGGTCATATGTGCATGAGGCCATGCCCAGAAGCAGCTAGGGATGAGGCCCTCAACCTTCCCAAGTCCCTTCAGTGCCTTGAGCTGTCTCCACTAACCACATGGCCAGGGTCACACACCAGTGGGCACTGAGGCCAGTTCTGGGAGCCCCAGCCCTGGCGCAGGCTTGATCACCAGACTTGAGCTCACAGCTGGCCCCACTGGCTCCCAACACTCATGTGAAGTCGAGGGTGCAGCCATGGTCTCCGCATGTAAGAGGAAGAGGCAGAGGCCCCGGAGCCCAGGCGCTCAGGGCCAGCCTGGGCAGCACAGGGACTCTACATGAACCTCTCAAGAGCAGGGTCACACCTCCTGGCTGGATCCAGACTGCACAAGCCAGAGAGGGACCAAGTCCAAGCTCTAAGTCCAAGGAGCCCAAGAATGGGAGGGCAGAGTCCCCTGGACAGGGTGACCAGTCCCCAGAGACGGCAGGAGATAGGACCTGCGAGCACGTGCCTGGGCGATGACAGCAACCCAGCTAGAGAAAAGAAAGAGGGCCGTGGAGAGGCCCGTCTCCTGGCCCGCCAGAACAGGGAGGCGGCTGCGAGTGCTGACCCCACCTGCAGAGCTCTTGCTACAGGCCGCTGGGCCTGTGACTGGCAGTAGTGGAGATTGGGGCACAGGAGGTATTCAACGAATGGTGCTACATGTCCACCCTAGCAAATCCTTCCTCCCACGTCCTGAGGCTCTGGCCCTCAGCCTGCTGACCCTGGAGAGGGGTGTCTGCCTAGCCACAACTCCCATTGCAATACAGGTCCCACTCCAAGGCCAACTAGCTTCCCGGGCTCCAGCTCTATCACCACCCACCTGCCCCAAGAACCTGCAGAAGATGCCCACAGCCACAGCCCCTGCTCCAGATTCCTGAACCAATTCACCAGCCAACCCCAGGTCTGCTGCCCTGTCTGGCACACCAGGTACTGCCCACACTGGCCCTGCTTCCTACACGGGTGGCCCCGCATGTCATGCCGGCCCTGTCTCTGAGGACCTGGGGCACTTGAAGGAAACCACATCTCAGCTGGCAGCTCTGCACCACGGGCACAGGAGTCCCTGAAGCCTCGGGTAAGCCAGGTTGCTGGCAACCAGAGGGGCGGCCACTGTCAGTCACATGACCCGTAGGCCAAGCACCGCCTCTGCAGATGCTGATAACATGGTGAGCTTGACCAGGATTCCACCATACCCAATATGGTCCTCTGGGCTGACTCCAGTGAGACAGAGCCCTCTGCAGAGAAAGGCAGGCCCAGGGCCTGCGACTCCACCCCAGAAGACGCGGCTGGCCGTCGCCAGGTGCAGACCAATAGGAACCTGAGCAGGCTGAGCAGGCCCCTTCCCTTAGTCAGTGAAACCCAGGTGGAGCACACACTGCACAGAGCACGACCTGCGCTCCTGCCGAAGACTGAGAGGCACCTTCTTGACGCCCACCGCGGAGGGCACCCGAGACCCCAGGCGACGCTCAGCACCCCAGTCCACTGAACCAGACAGCCCATGGAATGACATGCAAATCAAGGATGGGCCCCACACCTGGGAAGTGCAGGCCCCAAGTGCACACTGCCTGAGCCACTGGCCAAAGTGCCAGAGGCTAGAGCTGACCTGACGGCAGAAACCAGGCCAGCCTGGTGTCCAGGGCTGGGACTGCTGGACAGTGCACCAGGAGCTGCCTGGTGTGTCCCCTGTGACCATGACACCCTGGCAAAGCCCACAACTACACTCCACCCCAATATTTAAACCAACCAGGCCCAGGAGTGCCCCCATCTTTTGGCTAGAGGATGAACCCCCCTGCAGTGGTCCAGCACAGTGTGTCTGTTCAGGATGGTACTTGCCTAACGTGTTTTAAATGCTCTCTGCCCCTCATCTCGAACCCCTCAGAGATGAGGACTGAATCTCTCCCCTCTGACCGAGAAGGCAGAACGGGTACCAGGGCTCCCTGCACAGCCGACAACCGCCTGCTTGCCTCCCGCCCCATTTGCTAACTGGAGAGGCTAGAGTTCAAAGCCCTTTGCCCCCAAGCTCCCCCCACCTCCTCCTGCCCTTGACTGGCCACCTCCCACCACCTCCTGGGCCCAGCAGCCGCTATACTACCAGGGTGGAGAGGCCTGCCAGACTCCTCCCCACGCTGCATGGTCCTCAAGCCCTCCATCATCTAAGTCCTTGGACAAAGGGGCCAAGGAGGGCCAGGGTGCTGTGGGCAGAGTGCCTGCCTGGGGCACCTGCCTGGGGCCCCCGTTCCAACCCAGCACAAGACAAACGAAACAAGTGCTGATGAGTTGGGTGAGGCTGGGCGTCGAGCCCCCAGGCCCTGGTAGACCTGCTATTGCAGCAGGCAGCACATCCTGACCAGTCAGGGGTGTGGGCACCGAGGTCACCTGGGAGCAGAACATCCCCTGGGCGTGCGTGTTCTCCCTCTGTATCAAGCAAACCTTTTTTTTCCTGGTCCCAGAGATGAAACCCAGGGCCTCACACATACCTCTACACTGAGCTGCATCCCCAGCCCAAAGTAACCAATTTTATTTACAGAACCCAAAAGCCATACACCCCAGGGATCCTGGAGGCAGCAGGACCTCATGGGGACCACAGAGCTGGCCTGGACGGGAGGATGGCTGCTGTCTACCTCTTTCCGCTCTGCATCAGCCTGCATCCGGGCCTGGGTCGCTGCAGCCTCTCGGCAGGAGCTGGCCTGCTTGGCCTGTTCCAACAGTGTCTTCAGCTGCTGCGCGGTGCTCAGCAGAGAGTTGACCATCTCTTCAAGGTATAGCCAGCTCCGCTGCTCTGACATCTCCAGCCCAGTGACCACCGTGGGGGAGACAGATTTGGTGGGCGTGGAGGGTGGGACGGCCAAGGCAGGCAGTGACGTCAGCACTGCAGCAGGGAAATGAGACAGACGGGAATAGTGAGCGCTGGCTGGCAAGGTCAGAGGGCACACTCTGTGGCCCACATCTCCTGCCACACTCGGGGACAGCCACCCGTCTGTTTCCAACATGCCTACCTAGCTTCTCAGGGCACCTTCCTAATGCTGTCACTAGAAGCCTGGCTGAGCCCTGGTGTGCGCAGATAGGGTGGGCACCTGCAGGCCCATGTCCCTGGGGCAGGCAACGTGAGATGCAGGAGACTGTCCAGGAGGGCAGGACCCAAGTGGGGCCAGGAGACTCAGCCAGGGCCACAGACAGGAGAGCCAGGGCTGCAGCACCATGGCTGTGCACAGGATAGCCTTCCTAGCACCAGTTAGATGCAGGGATTCACTAAGGACACAAAGTAGCATTCCTTCTGGCTAGAGAAGCCTGTCACACAGATGCCAAGAGGAGACTGAAGGAACCCTGGAACCCTGGACTGGACCTAGAGACCCCACAAGCCCCCAGCTGCTGCAGGACAGAGACACTTGTGCGAATGGGCAGGCCCACCTGGCAGTCCTGGGGCACGCCTGGCGCAATAGCAACATGCACTGGGGCACCAGCGAGTGCCAGGCAAACCTCCCGCCCTCGGGAACCCAGTTCCTTCCAGCTCCCACTGCGAGGTCACTAGACGGTCTGGGACAGACGTAGTCTTTTTTTTTTTTTGAACAGGGATTGAACTCAGGGGCATTTAACCACTGAGCCACATCCCAGCCCTATTTTGTATTTTAGAGACAGGGTCTCACTGAGTTGACTAAGGCCTTGCTAAATGGTTGAGGTGGGCTCAAAACACACAATCCTCTTGTCTCAGCCTCCCAAGCTACTGGGATTACAGCTGTGCACCACTGCACCTGGCTAAGACACACAATGTTCATGGGATTTGGGGACTAAGCAGGGGCAGGCTCCAGAGGGACAGAGACCTGAAACATCTCCAGCACATTCCGGGCCAGAACCCAACAGGCAGAGAACCAGAGGCAGCTGAGGGCTTGGGCTGCACCAGCCCCCTCAGGGGACCCTGCTGAGTACAGGTAATATCAGGGAACCCACAGGAAGCACTGCGTCCACACTGACTGGCCTCGGCTGGCCTCCTACAGGTCCTTCCTGACCAAAGTCAGGGTTGCCTGCTGACTTTGGAGGAGATCCTGGGCTCCAGGGAGGCCCTGAGCAGCCACATCCTCAGATGTGTCCCCAGGAGAGGGCCACCCACTCAGCTCTCCCCAGCTCCAGGCGTGGAGGGTGGAACCTCCAGTTCACCAAGTCTGGGGGCCATAGGCAATGCTCTCCCGAGTGTCCCATCAAGTCCCATTTCTAGGAAAACAGCGATGCTCTCCAGGGTATGTCACCAACTCACTCTCAAATAGTTTAGGAGAAAGGTTCTTATACTGTGTTTGCAACCTTTTTGTACACTTGGGATTATTTCTGAGTTTTTAAAAGATAGCCAGGTGGAACCACTTGTGGCGGTGCAGGCCTGCCATCCCAGTGATTCAGGAGGCTGAGGCAGGAGGATCACAAGTTCAATGCCAGCCTCAGCAATATAACAAGGCCCTGAGCAGCTTAGTACACCCTGTCTCAAAATAAAAAATTTTTTAAGAATTTTAAAAAGAGTGGCCCAGAAATAAAGCCCTTTGGGTTTAATCCCCAGTACCAGAAAAAAAAAAAAAAAAAAAAAAAAGAAAAAAAGATAAAAGATAGCCAGGGGTGGCTGACTCGAGGCTGAGGCAGAAGGATCACAGGTTGGCTATTTGTTTTGTACTGGCAGGGCTACTCTGCCACTGAGCTTCATCCTAGCTCATTTTTGAGACAAGGCCTCACTAAGGAAGACACAGTTAAATAGCACCTATAGAGAATTGGTGAGGCCTGTCTCAAAACATAAACTAAAAAGGGCTGCGGATGTAGCTCAGTGGTAGAGCATCCCTGGGTTCAGTCCACATCACTCAGTGGTAGAGCTTCCCTGGGTGTACACACACACACACACACACACACACACACACACACACACAGGCAGGATCCTGGGCTCTCAGCCGCAAGGATGCAGACGCTGGCCTCGGTTCTCCAAAGATGCTGCCCTGAGCCAGCTCTGAAGAGACAACCCGCCCAGGACTTGCCTGACCTCTTTGGACGAGAGCCTGCAAACACACCCCTCCTCGCAGGGGGCCAGGTGATGCCTGTTCAGGCCCTGGCATGTTGGTCTCCCGGGAACAGCCTGCCATTGAGCACACACATTGAAGGGCACGGCTGTGTTCAATGACACTATTTACAAACACAGACAGTGGGCCAGACCTTGCCAGCTCTGACCTAGCGCCTGTTTCACTTAGAAACCCTCACAGAAGCAGCTCTGAGGGTGATGACCTGCACGTACGTGAATTCCTACAAACTCACCTATCTTGGGGTGAGAGGTTGGCAGTGCAGCCTCTGGGAAGGGTGCGATCTGGCAGCTGTCCTGATAGCCGGGGTAGTGGGGCTCGGGATGGCCGACCCTGCACGGGGGCTGCACACCGGCCTCCTGCACTGTGGTGAGAAAGCGATGGGCACTCAGCTGTCAGCTGGGTACAAAGGAGCAGACCTCGCCAGGCTGCACACGCAGCTGCAGCTCCCGCCACAGGTGCTGTGGACAGCTGGGGGTGTCGTGTCTGCCTTGATGACCACAGGGGCTCGAGGTGCTTGGTGAAGTGAGACTTGACCAACATGAACCTGCCCGTTTCCTCTCTCTCCAGCATGGACTCCAGCATGTTTATGACAACTTGCGGCTCAGCCCAACCTCAGGCAGGAGCTGCAAATGCCAAGCAGCTCCTGCTCTGCCCACCCTGGGCCAGGTCACACCAGCCCACAGCCACAGCTTGCCCACCTGTGCCCGGCCTGCACAGAGGCCATAAGAGGCATTCAGGTGGAGGGGGATGCACCCTGGGGGTAAGGGCAGAGGGCAGGTGGGAGAAGGCACACCTGTGGCTCCCGCAAAGACGTCACCCTGGGCTGGGCTCTCAGATATCACAGCAGTGGCCTCCACGGTGGATGCCCGGTCGAACGTCAGTGCTCCCGAGGTAGTGATCTGTCCAGAGGGCGTCACAGTGACTGGAGAGGCAAGCATACATGTTACAAATGGCCCAGCCAGGCCCTGTACACATGCCACTCCCTGAGAGGGCAGATTTCAGAAAGTCCCCAGGAGCCGAGCCAGAGTGAGCTCAGGGACATCAGGATGCAGGAAGGACAATGGGCAGCCAGCAAACTCAGAGGCCCTGGGAGAATACCAGACAGCCAAGGACACACTTCCACCCCACTCCACCCCATCCCATGAAGCTCTGACTATGAACCAGACTCACACCTAAAAAGCCAAACAAAATCTTAAATAATTCTTGAATTAAGAAACAAGAGTGTCCCAATGCCACAGCATCAGAGGTGGGCTTGCGGAGCCAAGGGACGTGAGGGCTTGGGCCTCAGACATTCCTGTGCCTGAGTGGGCATGGCAGGTGGAGGATCTGCAGGACTGTGCCCCGGAGGGTGCATCTCATCTCTGGCCCCTTTCCTGTGCTCTGCTCTGGCCACTACAGGGTGCAGCCTCCCAGCCACATCCTCTGCCCCGATGCTCTGTCTGCCTGAGGGGCCAGAGCCACGCAGCCAGGTGGCCCCTCCTCCCATGCTGTGTACAGGGGTTCTCTGACTTTGGTGGAGCTGGAGGTGACAGGGCACTTCCCTGCTGGACAGAGTGGTCTTTACTAAGACTCACAGGTAGTGGCCGCTGTCGCAGGAAGGAGTGTGATGTTCTTGGGGGAGTCCTTTTTCACTGGGGCTGCAGGCAGCTCATTCTCCTTCTTGCGCCTTTTGTAGGGGACGAAGAGCCTGACGGGACCACTCTGTGGAGAAAGGTGCCATGCTGAGGGCAGAGGCATCCCGGCTTCCTGCTCCTGCCCAGGGACCCTGAGAGTGGCATGGCAAGAAGGGAGGCGAGAGGCTCAAGAGAACTCCTGGCAACCCGCAGCCTGGACAGCGCAGCCCAGTCCCCAGAAGGACCCGCCCTAGGCCACAGAGATGATGGGCCAGCTCCCTTCCGAGGGCTCCTGCCCTCAGTCTGTGACCCTTCTCAAATTCCCTTTCCTTCAGTGTCAAGTTCCATCAAAACCGCTTCCTTGCCCAGGCGTCTGAGGTCCCAGCGCTACTTCCTGCAAAGACCCAGGTCTGCCCTCCAGACCCCAGGCCTGCAAACGCCACCGTCCGACAGACAACTAGGACCTGACACCTGCAGGGTGCTGTCACCATGCAGATTCTTTCAAAACTGCTTCAACTACTTCATCTTCCTTACTTTTCCACAAACATTTTGGAGTCAGCTTGTCTGCATCTACCGGGATCATAACAGGAAATGTTAAGCTATCCATCAATCTGAAAAACTAGAATCTTCCTATTGTTTCCCAACGTGGCTGTAGTATCTCTCTCTTAACACATTTGTTTTTTAGTTGTAGTTGCACACAATATCTTTATTTTATTTATTTATTTTTATGTGGTGCTGAGGATTGAACCCAGGACCTCTCACGTCCTAGCGAGTGCTCGACCACTGAGCCACAACCCCAGCCCGTGGTATGTCTCTTGATAATCCACATCTCTGAATTCCCCCATCTGCACTTTCCATTTCCAGTGCACAAATCCCTACCTGCTTCACTGGAACACACCTGACCACCATGGCACTGTCCCTGCTCCCAGCTGCCCATCAGTCCACCCCTGTGTGACTCTCTGGAGCACACTGACCCCCGAGGTATTGTCCCTGCTCCCAGCTGCCCACCAGTCCACCAGTCCACCCCTGTGTAACTCACTGGAGCACACAGACCCCGGGGCACTGTCCTGCCTGCACATCAGTCCATCCTGGGGCTGTCCTTTACTTGCAGTACTCCTGCCCCAGCATCACTGGGTTTACAGGTGTGGCCACTGCAGCCAGTTTGCTGCAGCTAATTTGAAAGGGGTGTTCTAGGTTCTGGGCTGACAGTGATACCAGAGCCTCTCTCACTGCTGGGCCTCTATGCCCTCCTGAAGCCACCACTCTCTGCAGTCAGGCAAGTGACCAGGGACATGCCCAGGGACAAACATGCCCAGAGGAAAGAATGGTGGTGCCCTTGGCAGAGGTACAGGGATGGAGGGGCTCTGGCTGCAGGCACACGCTGGCACTTACCAGGGTCATGTCATCACAGCAGGCTGCGCAGGTGCAAGAGGCCGCATGAGGGTTCAGAATGCCATCCTGAAACACAGAAGTGCCTGGAGCGTTAGTCACACCCCAGCAGCCCACTCCTCGCAGGACTGCAGCGGCTCTGTCACTACCCACCACTCCCAGGGACAGATATCTGAGATGGGAGAGATGATGATCTCCAGAAACTTCTTGGCGTCTCAATGCATTCTGGCCACAGGCTCCACCTCTCTGTTGGGAGCAAGAGCCTACAGGTGCCGCTCCATCAGTGCAGCACAAGAGCCAGCCTGAGCAGGAATGGCAAGTCCTCCAGGGATGTCAGGGGGATGCAACGCATCAGGAGCTGTCTCCTGGGCTTCTTCCTGTGGGCAGTGGTCCCTCCCTAGGCCTGCCCTGTGCCAGGCACTACCAGCTCCCACAGCCCCACTGCGCTGCAGGTCACCACAGCATCATCCTGCTGGGAAGCTGGGAATGGCAAGAGACACACCCAGTTACGTGGCAAGCTGCTGGTGTCAGATCCTGCCCGGCCACACTGGATTGAGCCCTGGTGCCCCGCAGTCCAGGCCTTCTGAGACTAGTTGGTGCTACCGCCTTGAAGAGTGGTGCTGAGACACCAGGAGGCCTGTGTACCTGGATGAGGCACTGCAGGGGTCTGCCCGCGTAGCGGATGCTTCTCTTCCAGTCTTTGCTGCTGGCCCTTCCTGCCATGGCTTCAAACTCAGTCGGGCTATACCAGTTCTCACCCTGCTTGATGCATCGCCCGCGGCCACCTGAAAGGAGAAAAGGTCCCTTGCTGACTTACAGTTGGCTGACACCAAGCCAGGTCCCCCTCCCAAGTGTTCTCGTCTTCCACCTCTTTCCTGGATGCCTCTCAGCCCTGCCTGGTCTCTGATTGATCACCCTCCCTAGAGTCGCCCTGACAGGCTACCCAGGCAAATCGCCATGAGTTCATTCATGGTTGTGCCTCTGACCACCTGTTTGATCTGTCCACTCCCCATGTGGTCCCTGCAAGATCCACAGTGCCGCAGGTTTAGCATCTGTCTTAGCATCTGGATTCTTCCAGAATCCTTTGTCCTCAAGTCCTGTGCTGAGCAGCTCTGGGGGAGCATGTTCCATCCCTACCTTTCCCTCACCTCCTCTCTGGTTCTAGGCCACTATGACTCGGATTCATTCTCAGGCCTGTCCCTGCCCAGTGCCTTTTGTGACCTGGGCTCTGGTCACAGGGCAGCCCCCACAGCTCAGCCCGAGTGAGTGCTGAGCAGTGACAGCCGTCCTTGGCCCCGCAGTGGTCCCGCGTGACCTCACCTGAGCCAAGCCTGCTCTTGTAGAGCGTGCCACTGATGTTCCGGCAGCGCACAGGCAGCTCGCTGTCATACACTGAGGGGTCCCAGTTGTACTTGGTGCCGCCTTTTTCTTGGCCAGGAGCCAGGGGGGTTGGAGGAGACTGAGGACCTGGGAAGAGAGAGGTGGTGGGGCGAGAGCAGCACAAGCAGAGCCCTCAGGGCACGGGACCAGGGCTGCACTGCCTCCCCAGGTGTGCGCTTGTTTCAATTAGGGACTGTACCTCCTCTGCCTGGGAAACGCCATATTTTGTACTTAAATCTACCATTTGGAATTCCAAACTTTCTACATAAAACAAAAGAACACTCCAGAGGGCCTGGGGAGCAGGTGCTGCTGGTACCTGGGGTGAGAGGAGCCGCTGGACCCTTCAGCCCAGTGGTCTCCACGATGCTCCCATCAGTGTGGACGACGATCAGCGTGGCCTTCTCAGTGTTCAGGCTGTCCCCAATCTGAAGGGCTGTCCTACCAGACTAGAGGAGAGGACACCTCTGCTGAGTTGGCTGAGCAGTCAGAGGCCTCTCATCTAGCTACCAGGAGGCAGCCTCCAGGAAGGCTCCTGCCATTTATCAGCAGGAAAGAGCTGCTCATCCAGACACCCCAGATCCTTTAGAGATGACCCCAAGAGACTTAAACACAGAGCCAAGAACAAGGATAGGCCAGGGCTAAGCTTGTGTGGCCTCAGCAAAGTGTCTGAAAATCCGTCCGCTAAAGCATAAAATGCTCCGTGAGAGCAGCCCCCTTTCTGAAGACCCTGCCCTCCCAGCCTCTGCCACCTGTGCCAGAAGACCTCAGACAGAAAGCAGAACCATGGAAGGGCTAAGAACTTGGGCACACTTGTCATTTGGAGCAGGAATGGTTTCCCGCAGCTTGTCTTAAGAGGACGGGAGTGGCTGGGGATGTGGCTCAAGCAGTAGCACGCTCGCCTGGCATGTGTGCGGCCCGGGTTCAATCCTCAGCACCACATACAAACAAAGATGTTGTGTCTGCCAAAAACTAAAAAATATTTAAAAACTCTCTCTCTCTAAAATAAATAAATAAATAAATATTTAAAAAATCTCTCTCTCTCTCTCTCACACACTCTCTAAAAAAAAAAAAAAAGAGGACAGGAGTGAGCATGGCAGGCAGGTGAGCTTGGAGAACAGGGCTGGGAGGCACACCGACCCTTGTGCATCTGTGGAGCCATGTGGACAAGATAAGCAAGTGGGTCAGCTACTGGCCAGACTTGCCGTAGGCTGCAAGGCCTCAGGGCTTCACGCTTCCTGCAGTCAGACTTGCTATGTACCTTCCTTTTTTGAGCAGTGAGGTGACCACAAGGCCTCAGCTCCAGTTGAGGCTCCTGGCCAACCTCACGGCAGCACCTCCTCTCTGACCTCTCCCCGCCCAGCCGTAGGCTCCTGAGCACTGAGCTGCAGCAGGGACTTGGCAACCAGGCTGTGTGGAGCCCAGGGTGCCAGCCACAGCATGAGCCACCGGCACCAGAGAGCTTACCAGAACATGTCCTGAGATGGAGGCCGCATTTGCCACTGATGTTGTGAAGACGTTGTCTGCAGAGGCCCCCACGTTGGCCACTGTCACTGTGGTCACTTCTGCAATACAAGAAACCTCACTTTACAAACAAGGCAGGCCAAGGGTCCTTACACGGGAGCATAAGCACTCCTGCCTGGTGTGGTGGTGCTCCAGCTCTGGGACCTGGAGCACTCACAGAATGCACAGGGGACACAGCCAGGCCATGCCCAAGTCACCTGAGCTCCACGGGGAGGAAAGCACCACTCCCAGCAAGGCCTCTCCTGCCCCAGCCAGCCCCAGCTCTTCCACAACTGTCTCCCTCTGCAAAGAGGCTAATGCCGCAGTCGAGTCCAGTCCAGACTATACTCCTCGGCCTTGGCCTCTGGGAATGCCTCCCACTCCAGCAACGGTGAGCAGCCTCAGGTCTGGCCATGTCCCTCCTGGTCCCTCTGCTGCCTCAGCTCCAGCCCCAACAGGGGACCACAGCCTCATGTTCACTGCCCCTGCTGAGGTCTCCAGGCCTTCCCCAGAAATCTTCCTCCTGAGAAGCACACTGACCTGCTGTGCCCCACCCCCTCGGACATGGCAGTCGGCCCTTCCCAGGAGCCCAAACACACTGAAGGGCTCCACAAAGGTCTGCTGGGCCCTGCCATTACCATCACCCAGACAGGCCACATGGCTCCTGCGCATGGGCTGTACTCCTTGCCAACACCCTTCACACCAGCCCTCCTCACCTCTGCAGAGGCAAGTACTGCCTTCTGCTGCCTAGGGCTCTCGAATGTCCCATGCCCAGGGTACTCTCTGGCATACGGCAGATGCTCAAATGATGGCTTGGTCTTCCTCCCTCCATTAGCCACACCCACCAACCTGCACCACAACACCCATTAACCTCAGTCCCCACTATCAGGCCACCCTGGGGCAGCTAACTCATTCTCACCACTCAGCCAAAAGTAAGCTGACCACTTAAGCTGAGGACCCGAATCTGGATACAAGCCTGAAGACAGCTCAAGCAGTCATGTGCCCAGTGGTGGGCATCCTGTCTGTCTGCATCACTTACACCCGAGCATTATCTGATTTTTGCATCTCTCTCTCTCTCTCTCTCTCTTTTTTAAAATTTTTTTAGGTGTAAATGGACACAACACAATGCCTTTATTTTTACGTGGTGCTGAGGATCAAAACTGAGTTCCGCCCGTGGTAGGCAAGTGCTCTACCGCTGAACCACAATCCCAGCCCCTGATTTTTGCATCTCTTAACAACAACAAAAAAAAACTGGAATGCTCTGACACATAAAAACACAGCTATAAAATTCTGCAGAACCGCTCAGTGGTAGAGTACTTGCCTCGCACATGTGAGGCACTGGGTTCAGCACCACATAAAAATAAATTAAAGATATGGTGTCCATCTTTAAAAGAATCTTAAAATTCTGCAGAAAATCTGGGGTATGGCTCAGTGGCAGAGCACTTGCCTGGCATGCATCGGGCCCTAGGTTGTATCACCAGCATCACTCACTCTCTCACCCACAGAAGAAACATACAACATAGACATATTTCTCTGACATCATGATGAATGGCATCACATTCCTTTTGTACATTCAGAAAAATGTGCAAAGAGGGACAAAAATTTTATGGCCCAAATACCAATGCCAATCCAGAGTTCATGCTGGACAGCACCAACAAATCCATGAGGTCTCCTCAGTCTTGGGAGCAGCTTGACAAATCACTGGAGACCAGCAGCACTGGACCAGTGGAACCTGGACAGCTGGGCCCTGCCCAACCCCGAGGAGCTGAATGTCAACTAGAGCTGATCGCCACAGCTATCATGAAACCCACATAGCAGGACAGGCATTGTGTCCAAAACCTGAAGAACTCCTCAGGATGCAAGAAGAGCAGCCAATCAGTGCTCCTCCAGGGCTGGAGCTTCACCTGCAAGTCCTGCTGGGGCACTTGGGAGCTCCAAATGGGAAGGGACCTGACTGATGCTCTACAGGGTGGGGGGTGGGGCAGGGACATGTTGACGGCAGAGAGCATCCTGGGGTTGCACTACCTCCACAGGGTGATGCTACACAGCTCAAGGCTCCTTGTGCTACAGAACCTGGGATCCAGGATGCTGTGTCAAGAAAATACGAGCGGCACAAACAAGAACTTGGCAATGCAGGAGGGGAAAGAAGATGTGTACAAGAAAGGCAGCCAGGAAGATGCCTGCCAGGTTGAGACAGGCATTGCTGCCTCTGGATGAGGACTCTCCTGATCACTCATGCTCAATACCACACCTGAACTTGCCCTGAGCACTTGGAGCATTCCAGGCAACTGGACATGCCCACTCGCCTGGGTCTCCTTAAGGACAAAACCCATGTTTGATCATCTTATGCCACCAGCTTCCAGGATGGACCAAGAGAGGGCAGAAAGGGCAGGAGGCAGGTGTTGAGAAGGTTCCAGAAGGGGCACAAAATGAAGAACAACAGTGACACACATGGAAACAGGCATGCACGCAAAGCAGGGCCAGGACGGTGGAGGAAGGCAGGCGTACAGGGCACCTGCACCAGGCAGGTGCTCCTAGGCCTGCAGCCTGGGGCAGGTGTTCGGGAAAGGTGCTCGGGGCAGGTGCTCGGAAACCAGCGAGGCGCGGGAACTGGCGAGGCGCGAGGCCAGCGGGCGCGGGCGCACTTGCCTGCGAAGGCGGCGGC